TTACATACCAAGTGTGCATTCTCGTGGAATGAATAGCCGCAAGAAGCCTTGGGTTACCTCACAGTTATTAAAAATAATTAAAAACAGGCAGCGAGTATACCTTAGCTTCAACAGAACGAAGGCAAAAAAACACTTCGACAGGTTAAGCGCCCTAACGCGTGAATACAAAGTTATGGCAAAAAATGCGAAGGTGGGCTACTTAAATAGGCTAAACGAAGAAATGAAAACAAATCCCAAAATGTTCTGGTGGTACTTAAAACGTTGCGGGTCAGATGCTACCGGTATTAACGAAATCCAATATTATAATCAAGTGTTCTCGGAAGATATAGACAAGGCGAACTGCCTTAATGAATATTTTCGCTCTGTATTTTCGCCAGAGACTGATGAATACTGTGATATCCCATGTGTATATCCCGTACCCTTAATGCAGCCTATTGAGCTTAGCGTGGACGGCATTCAAGCCTTTCTCAGTAATCTCTATGAAACAAAAGCGAATGGTCCTGACGGCATTCCTCTGCGTGTTTACAAACATTGTGCTTCTCCTGTTTCCATGTATCTTCATTTAATTTACTCGAAGTCTTTATCTACTGGTGTCTTACCAGATGACTGGAAGATGGCCCACGTTTTGCCGATCCACTAAGGGGGACCCAAAAAGGAAGCTGTCAACTATAGACCAATTTCATTAACATCAATTGCCTGCAAAGTACTTGAGCACATCTTGTACAAGGAAATAATGCGACATATAATGCACCACAAATTGTTAATAGAAAATCAGCATGGATTCCGTAAAGGACTATCTTGTACCACGCAGCTGGTTGAATTTTATCATGATTTATCCTCTAGTATTGACAAAAATGGGCAAATATACTGTATTTTTCTTGATTTCCAAAAAGCTTTTGATTTGGTTTCGCATGCGCTCCATTTGAAAAAACTTAAGTAATTTAGACCTAAATGTGATAATCTGGATAGAAAATCATTTATTATTATTTTAAGCATCGTCGCCAATGTGTTGTTTTGAATGGAAAAGCATCCAGTTATGTTGACGTGACATCAGGTGTGCCACAGGGCTCCGTTTTGGGTCCTTTGTTGTTTTTAATTTATATCAATGATATTTCGGTTGGTATCTCATCGTCTATCTGGCTTTTTGCCGATGACTGTATAGTCTACCGGAAAATTAAGAGTGAGCAGGATTCCTCCCAACTTCAAAATGACTTGGTACGTATTCATGACTGGTGTACAACTTAGAAAATGTCTTTAAATTTTAATAAGTGCATTAACCTTTGTTTTTCAAAGAAGACAAAGAAGATCGAATTTAGATATTGTATAAATGGTGTGCCAGTTACCACAAAGACAACTTACAAATACCTGGGTGTGTTCTTTTCTTCTGACTGTTCATGGAATGTACATGTTGATTATGTTGTCGCGAAAGCTGTGAGGGTGTTAAATTTTATTCAGCGTAACTTACGATGTTCGCATCAGCGACTTAAAGAATGTGCGTATTTGACGTGTGTACGACCAGTCTTAGAGTACGCCTGCGCTGTGTGGGATCCAGCGCAGGTATATCTTAGTGATAAGATAGAAAAAATACAGAACAGGGCGGCAAGGTTCTCCTGAGACGGTATCAATGGCGGGAAAGCTCCACCACTATGAAACAAGAATTGAATTGGGAGCTGCTTTCATCCTGTAGAAGAAAATTGCGATTAAAACTTTTATATCTATTATTTAATAATAAAACTGGAATCAATAAGGATATGTATTTACAGACGCCGTATTATTTGTCAAATCGAATTGATCATCCTTTTAAACTAAGGGAATACCGTCCCAGGACTGGAATTTTCGCAAATTCTTTTTTTGTCAGAATAATACATGAGTGGAATGGGCTCACAAGTGTACAAGTGTCTGCTGTAAATGAAAATTTGTTTTTTTCGAATCTGTAACCCC